CAGAAGTCTAGGTCAATTACTTGGAGGGCAACAAAGAATATGTCCTATCCCATTAATATATATCGATCACTTAAACCTAGATGGCCATGACCTACAGCTGATTTACCAGGCATAATTGAACAGGATGTGGCAGCTGAAGTGGACAAGGTTTTTCCATAGTCTTTCGGCATTTCTTCCCACACACCTCAAAATGTTTGTCTTCATGAGAATGGCAAAAGGAAGGAGAGCAAAGAATTGGCATCTCTGAAATGAAACACGGATTTCTTCTGGGATTGGAGCAGCAGGTGCACGGCTTATTGGGCAAATGCTATATAGGTATAATCTTAAGGACATCACTGAGATGGATCGTCCTTTGGCTCAGGCACTAACAAAACGAATCACTGAATAACTTGGCAGTACATCTGAATTGAGACTATAAACCTAACCTTGGTCATTCCTCCAGATCTACTATTGTTACATCACGAAGAGCAGACAAGTGACTCAGGAGCTCATAAACAGTTTCTCATGGAAAGCACGTATGCTAGCCAGACAAAATCTCTCTCTGAAAAAAAAATGTGGAAAAGTGGTAGATTTAACCTACTTCAAAATGTCATTTTTTGAAGGGAAAAAAAAATCAACACCACAATACACATTTTTTCTTGATGCTTAAAGGATGTGTCTGTACTGTAGAAGCATTTTAAACACCAGACACTGGATTGGGCTTTGGGCAGCTGAAGGAACTTGCTGCAGCAAACCCTACCAGTTCCCCCTTAGTATAACCAGTATAATCATAGTGAAAGTATATTATGAACTATAGATGATCATGACCAGAGAAGAGCTGTAAGATATTTAATAAACTACATTGGTTAACCACTCTGAAAAGGAAGTGCCAAAGACTACAGAAATATTGTTTAGCTCAGCTTCATCTATGTCCTTCTGGATATGTCCAGGGAAACATAATTCTTGTAAAGGATAGAGGTCCAGAAGACAGGGGTCAGAGTTCTAGCCCAGTCAGCAAGAGACATCTGGCATCGTTTCCATGAAATATGGGCTTGTACCACTCTTTCGCTGACCCTTTAGACAAACCATGGACACTGGAGACAGCATCTAAATGCTATTAGAGCATATCCTTTCTCTGCTTGCTCTAAGAATAAAAGTGAGAGCACACAGCTTTCTTATCCTACCAAAACTAAGAAGCCTGATGCTGTAGATGAAGCCCTATGCACATGAGTAACACAGTCTGTTCCATGCTGCACAAGGATGAGCTGAAGATGAGCAGTGAGAGCTGCAAACAGGAACTCATTTGGGCATGCTGCTGAGCTGGAGAAAGGTTTCAGCTTGACACCACCATGAGAGACACAGCGGTTGCTCAGAAAAGTGAGAAGTTAGCACAGGATGTTTTTACTACAGGAAGCCAAAGCACAGATTGCACTACCTGGTAGAAGTTTTCCTGTGCTTGTCTTCTTCCCATTATTAAAATGTCCAGACAAAAACAAGGAGTGAGAGGGACTGGTGTCAGCATGGAGAAAGCACAGAGAGATGCTCTATATATTCTGTCTCCTACCAGGAGCACAGGAAGATGTATTCTCTCCCATACTTTGGAAGAAACGCTCCTAAGAAATGTTTACTGACAGAGAATTAGGGAATACAGACTCTTAGAGGCAAGCATATTTAAATAGCACCATTCCTAGCACAATGCATACAAATGCCTACTTAGATTCTCTGAACACCAACATGTAGAAGCACAACACTTTGCAGAACACCAGGAGACTATCTCCACAGGACTATTACCTCTGACTCTTGATAAAACATCTCCTGCTGTATTTTCTCCCTGTTGTGCTTTGCAGATGCTTCCTCTTTTAATTTGTCAGAGACAAGCAGCTGTAATTCTGAAAATAACACTCTTCAATAATGCTCTGTTTACTGTCAGATCTCCTTTCTCAGCTGTAATTATGTTTATACTTGTTTATCAGAAGGGCAAACTGCAGCCCAGGCCCATGGTTTAGGTTAACCTCACAGATATGCGCAAAATAAAAATAGACTTTGCGCTATTGAAAGCTCTGTAGCTACAGAAAGATGGGAAACACAAAGTCTTATTTTAGCTATGTATCATAGCTTTCCAGTTGTGATAACTTTGCTGAGGACAAAGGAATTTTCTACTCCTTACGAATAAAAAAGAGATAGCACAAATTTTGATAGTCATTTTCACAGAACTGAGAATGCTTTTGTAGTGCTGGATCTGTTGTAAGCTAGTTAGCTTCAAAGGTAATCAGATATTTAATGCATCACTAATTCAATGTGAAGAGCCTGGGATGAATGAATTATCAAACTTGCTAATTGTCAGCTATTTAGTCAGAAAACAATGTGGGGAGCTATTTAAAGGAAGTTATGAACACAGTATTTGCTGTTTGGGGCAGAATGTCACTGGCACACCCAATCTCAGTTTGCTCTGTCTCCTGGAGGAGAGACACCCAGCCCCTCCAGGCAGCCTTTCACTGATGGGGAAAGTCTTTCCATCATTTTTCATTCCAGGCCACTAAGCCAGGCACAGTTCACCATGAACAGGCACTTTAGCAAACCAAGCCCATCCTCACCAGCACACCCAGGGCTCTTAGTTCCTTGTCTTCCCCACAGCATAAAAAAGCCCCTGCTGCAGTGCTCCAGAGGGTTGCAAGAAGGCCTTCAGCAGACCTCTTCCACCTGCTGTTCTGGTTCCCAGGCTAGATTTACCTATCACCTTTTCTCAATCTCATACCAGTATCTGCAGATACATATTCTTATACCTCTTCTTAGCCAGTCATGTTCCTGCTTTCTTTGCCCATGCAGGACAGCGTTCAGGAAAAATTGCTCCACCCTTCCTGTTTCACATCTGCACTACTCCTGTTGCAAACCATCCTGCTTGCATTGCATCAGCCTTCCTTTATAATACTCTCAGACCTGGCTCTTGTTCACCTGCATGCTCCTATCTCATGCTCTCGTGTTCCACAACAGGAGTATATTATGAGAAAAAAGGTTCCTGATCCATGTTTTCCTGTTTGGGTAGGACTGTGGTGCTATTCTCAAAATGAGCTGTTTCTTTTAGACCACTTTCCCCTCTTAGAGGCAATGCTTTGTGGCCCAGGAGATGCCAATAGTTCCCTGCCATTTCTCTTAGCCGGTGAACCAAAACGAAATAGTGGATCTGATCCTGTATAATGAGTGAGCTGGACCTTGAAGCCTAAACCTTTACCATTATTGCTGTTTCCAGCCAAGTCCTTCTGACATTCAAACACCAGAGCCTCAAATTTCTTCAAAGAAAGATGCACAGCTGTGCAAGCCAGGCAATACTCCTCTGCTCACGTGCTCTTTGTAGCAGCCACTGTTCCCTCGTTTAACCTGGGTATCACCCTAGACCTCCTCCTTGTATCTGTGATTTTGTGTGTTAACTTTTTGCCTTCATAATGCAAAAATTGCTGGTGTTTGATGACTCAGAATAGGATGAGGAGGTAAGCAGGTACCAGTCAGAGAGCTAATAAACTCCACACATGGTGTGACTCGTTATTTACTTTGGGAACATGAGTTTCAGGAAAGAGTATCTTGTGCTTTCTCCTAATAGCAACTTTAAAAATCCACCAGGGATCGGTTTAATGCTTTGGAAAAGGTTAATGTTGTTAGGGATTTACAGCTATATTTGAAATAGTTTAAACTATTATTTTTATTTCCTTGAGTAAAATGGAATTTCAGTGAATTGTGCAAAGTTAGATGGTCAGTTTGTATATGAAAGAGGTCATTAAAAGCTTGAGTAGTTTTAAAGAGAGTCTTATTCTCTGTGTTTAGCAGGGAGTGGGAAACTGCTATCACCTCTGGGTTAGCTTCTCCAAATAGATCCTGAAAGTGCCTTCCTGTACTCTCAGAACAATGAGAAGAAGCATGGCTAGCACGCCATGGGAGTGCAAAACTAATCCTGTCCCTCCTACCCTTGTGCCACTCTCACAGGCTGACTGGCCTCTCTCCCACACAGCAGGAAACTGCCAGGAAAGCTGGAGCTGCCTCATGCATCCTAGCAGCACCCACAGTGCACAGAAGGCAGCACAGAAAGCTCCAGCATGGCAGTGCCCCATCCTGGCAGCTGCAGAGCTCTTGTGCCCCACTGAGCCTTCACATGAACTGCTGCCAGCTTCTCAGCACCAGAGTGGCCATTCATCATCCCATGGAGATCTCAGGTCTCCTTATACTTACTGACACCAGTGTCCTCTTGGGGAAGAGGATTCTGTATCTCGGTTTTAAGTTTTGGGTCTGGTGAATGTCCCGTGTGCCTGGGCTGCAAAGTGAGCACCAGCGTCCCTAACAACTCCTCTGGTTTTCCCACTGTTGAACACAAATCCAAGGTGTTTTCTCTCCATGCACAGTATGCCACCTTAGGCGCTGATATCCTTCTTCAGAGAAGCGTTTCCAAGCTCCCTGAGAACATGTCACTAATCCCCCCCAACCATGGCAGGTGGTGTCTTGTGGAGAAAAATGCTGACAAGGTAAGTCTATGTGTAGGCTGTGCAAGAATCAAGTAATAACACTGCTTCTTGCACACAACAGCAGAGAAGTCTCTGCTTGAGATATTTGGCACTGGCCACACATTACTCTGAGAGCCAGCAACTCTTTCCTGTGGTAGAAGTTCAGTGCATTGATGACTCCTGATGCTCATCTCAGGGGTCATCTGCTAGTCTACAATTGAAGTCATTTGTGCAAAATGCTGTGACAATGTCAGCTGTAATTGCATCAGTCATGCCACACAACAAGACAAATGTGACTGGAGATGGCGTGTCAACATCAGAAATTGCTTAAGACTGAAAAGCAAGTGGGAGAAAGAGCAAGCATTCAGAAACAATTATTTTACTATGGTAGGAATAACAACAGCTCTCATTTCCTACACACAGTTCTCCTGGGAAATAATATAGAAAGCTGCCAGTCTCCTCCCTTTCCCATGGGATACTATCAGACTGAAAAATAAATAAATAAATAAAACTCAGAAAATGTGTCCCATTTTCATTAGGGGTTCTGAAGATATAAGATGCACTTGCCCTGGACACAGGAGTATCCTTTTTGAAGTCTCCACTCTTCATAGCACACAATAGCACACAGATACCTGCCTCTACAGAAAGTCCAGTTCTGCTATATAGTGAGTAATTCTGCCCTGCCAAATTCATGCATAAGAGAGAATGCACTTGTCCCTGTTTCCTCCAGTGAGCTGTGAACTGACATCTGATACAGCCCTGTGAAAATGTCGTCTTGACTGCACATCAGATTGGCAAGCCGGTGCTGAAATGACTTCATGTTATACCTGTGGGAAAGGACAGGGCAGGTTTCCACCTCAGCAGACTCTTAACCTTGTACCAGAGCTGCCTAGACCAAGTAGAGGGCGTGGGAGGGATTCTTCTTACTAAAATTAAATAAATCTTATGTGAAAAATGCCATTTTCAATGTCTTGAGCTGTCAATTGCAAGAGAAGGAGATATTGATTTCTACAGAAACTTTATTTAAGTGAATGACCTATTAAATGAAACTTATGTGACACCAGATGGCTCTTGCAATTTAATTCCTGAATGAAGTGACGTCTCCAAGGCTTTAGGATGTTCTTTATCTTGAATGATAAAAGGCATTTTCCTTACAGCCATTTGCACCTGTATTCCAGGACATTTGCAAACAAAGTTCTACAAAGAATCCAGAATGCTTATACCTCCATTAGCGAACTCCAGCCAATAAACAGACAGCCCAGCACATACCAATCCTTAGGAGCAAAGCTAAAAGGTGCAAAGAGACAGAGAACTGCCAGGCTCCAGCCTCCCAGACTAATGAGGGCACTAAGGAAAGCAGGAGGAACGCCAGGACATCAGCTGCCACATGCCTACCAGTCCTGGCCCTAGCAAATGCTTGTGGTCAGAGAAGTGCAGCTCCCAGAACTGAACAGTCAGGGTGACATTTCAGTCCTTGTCACAGAACTCTTCCTCTCAAAAGCATGCTTAAAGTTATGGAGCCTGCATACCACAACACAAGCATTCCCAAGAGATGCCTGCAGAAGTGTTGGGGCTGCCTGGCCTCACCAAGCTCTCTCCTCCCACCCTGGGGCCATGGCAAGGCATTCACCTAGGTGAGCCCTCCTTTAACAGCAAGACAGTTACACTCATGGCTTTTCTGTCTGCACCAAGGTTAATTCCCTAAGAATGGTCTGCCAGTAAGCGGCTCCTGAGGACATGCACCCAAATCCTTCCCTCACAGGCAAACTTGCCTTGGGGCCTGACCATCACCCTGTCCTTCCCCAGCACCCACTGCCAGCCACAGCTTGGGCACAGCATCTGCCACCAACAACCGGCCTTGGCAATCTGCAAGAGCCACCAGTCCTACAGAGCAGACATCAGCAGGATGCTGCCTGAAGAGGAAGAGGAACAGGCCTGGGATTTCCAAAAGCTGCAGATAAACCTCCTAGGCCAGCAATTCCTTCTACATGCAAACTGAACTCATTGTGGCGGCTTTAGATTTGCAGCTTCCCAAATGCCTTGCAGCCTCTGTGGAAGGTGGTCTCACAAAGGTGGCATGGGTCCAGGAAGCATCAAAACAGACTCTCTGCCACCAATATCTGCACCTTAGAAAAAGTAAATCTATCACTGGCAGTCCCCAGGAATGTCAGCTACTCCCAGGCAGCCCCTCCAGAGAAAATCTGCCACTGTGTGGTCCATGCCCCTTCTCAGAAGGTGGCAGCAGCTCTGGAACAGGCATCCACAGGAACAAAGAACCAGCCTCAGAAGGGTGAAGGAACTGATCACTATTAAACAGGTGATGCTACTCCTTGACTGTTCCTTGCAGTATCCCCCGAGACCATCAGTTCTTCAGGGCAGGAACCATGTCTCCCAGAATGCTTGGGCAGCATCCGCACTTGATCTCACTCATCCCCTTGCATGCACTGCAACAGAAACAACAAGCGGATAATGTACCAGTGTCACATCGTCAGGATGAAAGTGAGAAGCAATGAAAGTGAGAAGCACCCTGCCACTTAGGCAGGGAAGCACTTGGCAAGAGCTCATCAGTGCCAGCAGTGTGCTCTCTGCAGTGCTTTTCTGATGGTGTTGATGCTGTGCCAGCCTTCTGGAGGGATGCTCAGACTCTAAAACCTCCTGCATTTCCTCCTGTGCATTTCTTTCCACAAGTCTCTCAAGGCAAAGCTAAAGATGGGAAGAGGCATTTGCTTTTCAGTCAAGCCCACTCTGCACTTGCCATTGAAGTCCTTGTTATCTGGCTGTGCATATAGAGCTATCTGCCATGCTTCAGAGACCACTCACTTCTGTTTACAAAAGCTTTTCTGCAGTTTGTGTTTTTAAGAGAAGCCAATTTATTTTTATTCAAAATCTATAAGAAACAATTGAATAGTAAAACTGTCAGATTCTGTCTGTTCCATCAAAATGGCTTAGTTGTGTCTGAAATGCCAGCACCAAATAACAACCCAGCTCCTTTGCATGCCCACACTCCCAAATGCTTCTGCTGCTGCTGGGCATCATGCAATCTTAGCAAGCACTAAGCTCTGCAGCACAGCAGTAAGCTCTGCAGCACACCCCAGGAAGCACCACTTTTACAGAGAGATGAACCTAATGGTCCTTCTCACTCAGAAGCCCTTCCCAAAGACCCTTCATGGGCACTGACACAGTTATTTTGTAGTTTTAATCTCTCTCTTCCCCAAGACCAGGAGCTAAGTCTGTCCCAGTTTCAGGAAGCCTTCTTGCAGCTGCCTGCCATGCAGCACTCACAGGAGGACAAGGCAAAGCACCTTGCTTGTGTACAGGATCCTACTGTGATGCTCTGAACCATGTGTGGGATGGGCAAAGTCACACCTTGGTGTGCATGTGTTCATAGGACTGCTCCAGGAAGTTTTGGGGCTTAGCAAACACCTCAAGGCTAATGATGGAGACAGAAGCAATGGGCATCTTCTGGGGAAGATGCCAAGCCAATGATACTCTTCCCTTCTGGGAGACCTCAGCCCATGGCACTGGATGCTGAGCAGCCCTAGGGAAGTAAAGTTGCCATCAACAAGCCAACAACACACTTACAACTTCCTGATCTGAGCAAGAAGCCATCTGATCAGCTGCTCTTCCCAGTAGCTCACAGCAAACATCCCATCCCAGGGGCAGGAACAGCAAGCAGAGGCCTCTGTTTACTATGTCCCCCTTACAACATCAGTGCAGCATTATGGCTTCAAGAGCATGCAGCTGTTTCCTCATTTCTTTTCACATGCCTACTGTTGTCCCACCTGTGTCCTATAAAGGAGCAGTACAGCCCGGCACCAAGTGCTTCCCCCTAGCAGGCAGACATCCAGACTTTCTATAAAACCACTTCTTACGTTGCCCCTAATTCTAGTTCAGTCATGGCAGAGCAGCCCAAGGGATGTGAACGCAATTTTCTCACTGAGTTACACTGAATCCTTTGGGGAAGGAGCCAGAATTACATAGAACCCATACAAACAAAAGCAATTGTTCTGCATTTGAACTCTGTTATTATTTAGAGTTAACCTTTTCTACTTCTAAATCATAAACTAATTTTACATCCCACCGTCAGATATGGGCCATAAGCTACAGGAAACATGAGATGACTGTTTCATACTCTCATGAGTTAAAAGATAACAGGGCACCCAGTGGTCATTGCTCCTCAGAACCAGACCTAGAGCAATAAATTCACTCAAGCACACTAACCTATAGTCCTTTTGTTAAAAAAGGACAAAACAATGTAGATGAAAAGAAACATGGATAATACTACAACTCACCCAGCTTGGCACAGGGTGCTTCACTGGCAGTGGACATAAAAAGCACTCTCATTGCAGCAGAGATCCTTCCATGGTCATCTCCATCGGATTTAAATGCATCAGTTGGAATCTAGAACAAAAGTACTTGTACAGTAAATACTACAAAAGTTGGAAGGCCACATTTAAAAAAGATCTGCTCTCTGCTAAGCTGTGAGAGTCAATACAGCCTATAAGCGGCACTGGAAGCTGAAAGGATTACTCTCTGCCAAAGCAATTTGTATTAGTTTTTATTCCAGGAATGGAAAATGGACTTGATGGACAGAGAGTTATACTAGCTCTGACCCTTTCCATGTTCGCTACCTGCAGGACCAAGTTATTGAGGGCTGGAAGCAGCTGCCACAGCCACAGCTCTCATGTCCAATCTCTCTGCTGAACAGCAAGCAGTGTGGCATTTCCTCCACTCTGAACAGCCAGACTGCTGCACGTATCCAGCCCCATAGTTGTACTCCTGTGGCTTCTTGTACCACAAGAGTTAAGGTAAGATCATTTCAACCTTACCTTGGAGGGAGGAACAGAAGTGGTAAGTATAGCCTCAATGGAACAACAAATTGGGCTAGTTTATATGTTGATGGTAGTTTGATTTTCCCAGGAACCACAGCCTCACCTGTTCTGCTGGCAGTGCACCTGCACAGACTGCATGGACATGGCTGTGCAGGATCCTTTTCAGCTAAGCTTTGATGGTATCAGTATCTAAACTGCTTTGAAGCATTACAAGGCTTTCTGGCTAGTGCGCTGGGCATGTGCTGTCTCACAGAAAGGAGCAACAAGTTTAATCATCCTGTCAGTTCAAAGCAGCAGCTCATGCCACAAACCAGTAATTTGCTACTAAAACCAATTCCTGCCAAAGGTATTGGTACACTGCTGGAGCCTCCCTGCATACAGCTGATGGACTGCCACACTGATCTCTCACAGCTCTCTACAGATAACTGAAAGAATACATCCTTAAAAAGAAGTTTCCCTCATCTAACGTTTGTTTTGTCCCAGCTGCCTTTCCAAATGCCAAACCCTCTTTAAAAAGAAAGCACACAAGGCAGAATTTAATTTATAAAACACTAATTTCCTTCTGAAATTTCAGCAAAGCTGAAGCTTGTCTTGAAAATTAAAACAAGCTGCATTTACTCTGTATACAATTAATTCCCTTCATGCCAAGTGTTACTTTGGGAAAGAGAAGCAGTCATAAACATATTCACCTGTCAAAAGAAAAAAAAGAAAAAAAAAAAAAAAAAAGAAAAAAAAAAAACAGTTAAAGTAAATAATTCAAGAGATTTAAAAATAAATTCACACTTTCACAGAAACAGACTTCCAAGCTTCTTTTTATCTCTTCTCAGCAGCACCTTGCTGTAATAGAACAGTGATACAAAAATAAAGGGAGAGAGAGCACAGAGCAGGTTCTGGGCCCGTCTAGCTTTAAAACCAAAGGAGTCTGTTTGCAGGGACAGAGTCCTATGAAATTCACACAGAGGCATCCTGGATTTGCAGGTACACCTAAAGAAATTAAACCCTTGATATTCTGGGAAACCGTTACTAGAGAAGTGCTGCTTATGTAAGTAGGAACAAGCCCCAACCACGGCCCAATGCTCCATGGTGCCTGGTGGTTCCCCTCATCCTGGCTGGGCTCTGGGACTTTCCCTGAAGTTTTCAGGCCTTTCCATATCTGGAGAGGTAAAAAACTGCATTGTATCTATTGGATACAGCGTGGATTCTTGCCAGACATGAACCCCAGACCTTGTGTCCCATGCACTGTGCTGAGTGGAGGAGGGCTCTGACAGCATTTACAGACGCAAGAGCACCACTGCAGCTTAGTAGCTTGTTTACACCCTGCTCAGTATTCCAAGTTTGTCATTATGTCAAAACTATGTTCTCGCTGTGGAGGTAGCAGAGAGAAAAGGGCTGTCTGGTGGTCCCTGGCCTGTCAGCTCTTGGAAAGCAACCTGGGCTCCTGCTTTTCTCCAGAATAAAATTCAAATCCTGGGAGAAGATGATGCATGCAGTCAACACTGCCATTAGCAGCTGAGGGCTCTTGCCAAGTCTGTCAGGGTGATTTGCATGGCCAGTAGGCTGATCTCCCAAAAACAGGACCTGTGGTCACAAACCCTATTTCTTTCCTTGCCTATAGGAAGCAACCTTGATTCATTCATTCAACTTGTATTGATCCTCTTTTCTTTATTTTTATGAGAAATGAATGGTGAGGAGCTTTTTCTCTGTTTAAACTTCAGGGGATATTGTTCAAGGACTTGTTGTGATGTTTCTCTGTCTGACAGCTTTATTGGGTAATAGCCACTGATGGTATATGTGTGCACAGACAGTCAGACCTTTTATACTATGTGTGTTCCCATAAAAATGATTGGTTTTAAGGTGTTATTCTAGCATTGTTGTGATTGTACCATGAGACCAAACAGTCAAAAAGGCAGATGTGAACTGAAGGCTGATTAGTAGATGTGCATTGATTCTCCCTCTTCTCCATACCCCGACAGGGAGAAGCCACACCACTATCTGCCTGCTAAAGACAGATAGCAGGGAAGGCAAAAGCATGGCTTGTTGGAATTCAGTTAGTAAATAATAATCAGATATCCCAGCTCCCAGGGAATGGCTGCACCCTATATTTCCCTGCCCTCCTGAACCAAGCTGGAGAAATTTGTTTAGGCCTAAAGAACCAAATGCATCTCTGTCACCCTAGGCACATTCTGCCTGTGACAGCGTCCCTGGCACCCAGCACCCGGGCAGACAGCACTGGACTTTCAGAGAAGCAGTGTCCTTTAGCAGGGAGACAACCAGAGCTCACTGCCCTCCAGGGCCTCTGGAAGCCCACTCTTGTAGCACTGGAAATGTTGTTAGAGTAGCCTCTGCACTGCTGCAATAATAGCAGCTATTTATGCAGACAGCCAGTTCTGCCCCCTTAAAAGCAGTACTGAAGACATAATTGATGCCACTAGCATCCTTGTTACTCTATTTCCAAAACAGAATGTGTGCTTTGTTAGTTTCTTAGCCAGTGCCATTACCTACCAATAGTTAATTATTACACATTCATTGTAACTGAGATTTCAGATGATTTATAGTTTTGATTGCTTATTTTTTCATCAGTGGTTCCAAAACCCCATCCAGCCAGAAGTGAAAAAGTTTAAATGTTATCTCAGGGATGGCTGGCTCACATTGACACCGGTAAGCGAAGGTAATAAGGAAGAGTCATTGATTATTTCAAAAGAGAAGAACAGATGTTCCACATATTAAGGAGCTATTACACTAAGTGTCATCCCAGTGACTTGCGGGAGTGGCACACTCATTTGTCTAAGATTAGCTGTTACAACAAGGTCATTTATGCTTTACTGTAATTAGTCATGCCAGTATTGATAAAGAAAGAAAAAATAGAACCCTGGAAATGAAGCATCATTATCTCATCACAAGACCATCTCCTTGAGTTCAAGCTTCCTCAAAAATCCCAATAGAGTCCAGTTCATGCATGACACAAGGTTTTGCTCCTTCCTTTCCAGTGCTGCAGAGGAAAAAGGAGTATGAAATGTTGAACCCAATACCCCAATAAGAAATCAGAAAAAAATTTAGAACGCCACTCTCCTGTGAAGCAGCAAAACAGCTAGAGAGCCCAAGAGATCCTTGTCCAAAACAATATCCAGGAGAAACAGCCTCATGCACTTAGTGACCAAAAATATATTGACTCTAGTTACTCCTACTGCAACTTGCCAACTTCTCTTTGGACTGCACCAGGCAGGACTTTGGTCCAGTGACCAAAACCTAAACCCTCCTCAGACCCAGCAGTGGTTTTCTGGGCTTGATCTGATGTAGCTGTCATGATAAAGGGCATAGTGTTCCTGAGAGTTACTGAAAGAACACAGCTTTTTTTCTATGTACGTATTATTAAGATTGAACCAGAAGCCTGGTGGTGCCAGCAGTTGTAAGCATTTCTATTTGCTTACTTCCCAAAGGCATTTTTTTTTGTGGATGTCAACTGGTCATCACATGAAATACTGATGCACACAGTCTTGACATCTACAAACTGTGAAACAAAGCAGCTTCAGAGCACTGCCTCCACTGCAGCATGTTGTTGAAACCTCACTAGCTGTTTTTGCAGCTTTTCAGCATCTTGAACAGCAGAGAGCAAGGAGGCCTCCATGTATCCTGCCCCAATGTGCAAGGAGACAGTGGCCTCTGGTCTGTCATCCTGGCAAAGGTTTCTGTCCTACAAACAAGGAAGATGAAACCCCAGGACCTTCTGGCAACCATGGGAAGAGTCCACCTTGTAATCTGGCATGGCAAGGGACAGGCTCGTATCTAACCTGGTGTGAAACAATGCCAGCACCACAGACAGTAACCAGGTGAACCAGCTGCTAGAGCCAAACACGTGAAAGGGATGCAGGAGCAAATATGCCCACCGTCTCCAGGCCCTCCTGCCACAAGTACATGCTGCTCTTGGCTGCTGGGCCCAGGCCTGCCAGCTGCCTCAGCCCACCCAACTCCGCTCAGTAGCCAGGTGAGCCTGCCGGGCTCCACGCTGCAGCCAGCCATGGCCCTCTCCTGGCCTGAGTAAAGCAGCCGTGAGAGGCACCTGCAGCAGCTCCCGACCCTGCACCTCCTCTGAGCCCTGACCTCAGCACGCTCCACCGCAGGTCGCCCCCAGCCCATGCCTCGCATCAGTGGGCAAACACGTTGAGCACACATCCACACCTTCTCAAATGGTGCAAAGTAAGTGAAAGAAGAAATGAGACTTAAGAATATTCAAATGGCTTGTGAAATTTGCAGGAAAGATAGTTTAGAAGTTTGCATCATATTCAAATAGTCTAACAATAAGTTTTTCAACAGCTGTTTCAAGAAACCCAGCTCTGAATCCACCCTCTCTTCTCTACAATGCATGTCAAATCTGCATCAAACCACTTGCCACCTGTTTCCACTTTGCAGGCAACCAATCATTGTTTATCAAAGTAACAAAGCTGCTTTCAGTTTGAAAGCAACAAATCAAAGTTTAATTATTTTGTCCTTCAGAGCTTTATGCTATCTTTTATGAAGGCTTTTTCAGATATGAAGAACTATCATTGGCTGCCTTAAAAAAGGGAATAATTGACTGACAGCTGAAAAAACACTTCTAAGGACAATAGTATTTGTCAGTCTGGTATTTTTCACTCTGAAGACAAAACACATTTTTATCAACACCCTGAAATTATTTTGTCAACAAAATTCACTTTGTTGCATTACCTTCATCTGTCAAACTGACAGGACATTCTCCAGAGCATTAAAAAAAAAAAAAAAAAAAAAAAAAAAAAAACATTTTGCTAGCACAATTAATTTCTGCAAAATTAAATTTTGCCTTTTAATCGTATGTATGGGAAGATGTTGCAATACATGCACAGGAACGTGTGAACAGCAATGCCATTAGCTCACTCACAGCTAGGAAGAGATCAGACATGCAAAATCTATGCCAGAGGAACACTACATCAGCCTGATACAAGTTGAAGAGATGCAACAGCTGATCAGTTAAATATAGACAAGATCCCCACTTCAGTATATCACGTTTCTACAAATTATTTGATCATACTTAAAACATTTCAAATAACTTTATATAGCATTTTCCACAGCAATTAGAGAAAAGTGTGCGTGAATACACAAAATGAAGCATTATCTCCCTAACCAAATTAGGATACATTATGTATTCACTGGGTGGTTCTATCACCTAATGGCATGGATGAAGTGGAAAGATGTACAAGTACCCCACACAACAACAACACATTGTACTACTGGAGAATGATTTTTTACACACTCAGTACATTAATACAAGTAGCAAACAAGTGCTTTGGTTCTATGCCGTATGTGGGATTTTTAAAAGGACTTTTCTGAACAGACCTTTATCAAATGCATACTTGTGATTTGGACACCAAACTCTCAATTACTTTGTACATTTCCTCTCAGACTCTTTTGACCATGCTTCTACCTGAATTTAAATCTGCAGCAGACACATAAATGGACAATTTTCATAGAATCTTTGAATCATTCAGGTTGGATATGTAAATGGACT